GTCGTTCTGATCCATCTTATTGTTGTTGCTTATTGTGCGATACTGAATTTTATTTGCTAATTTGACAGCAATTTTAAAGAATCTATCCTGCATTACTGATGATTCGTGACTTCACAATGTTGTAGGCCTAGTGATAAAACCACCTCTTTTTTTCTGTGAAGTAACTCCTTGAAATAATAAAGTTAGGCCTCGGCGTACGTACATTCGAAGTAGACTGAGCTCTCAGTAAGTGACATAATATATATAGCTAACTCTGCTTGTCCTAATCAACTATACAATAACCGATTCCATCAATAAATGTTTTTTAGTTAATGTGGTATTCCATAATGTCAGATCGTTATTGGAACAGGACACACAGAGTACCGTATGTCAGAATTTTAATAGTGATCTAATTTAGTGTATTAGTAATAAAGTGTCGGCTAACGACATTGAATAATAATTTGTTACGATAAATTAAGTTAGTAGTTACCCATTTCCGAACATCCATTTATTGACAGTATGTACTGTATAGAATTGAAGTTAATTGGAATATTAATTACATACATTAGTTTTAGGCCTAGATTCAAATATTTTATTTCATAAAATTTTTATAAAACGTTCGACATATTATCCAAAACTATAATACTTATATCTGTTACTATGACCACTATACCATTTACTCGTGCGAATAAGCGCACGGGCGCTTAAAATATTTATTGCACTTTCTGAGGGGCGCTTATTCAAACGGAGCACTTAATTAAAACGGGGCACTTATGAAAAAAGTGGAAATTGAGAGGGATCTTATGGAAATAGGTGAAAATCGACGGGTTCTTATGGGAAATTATTAAATTCAAGAGGCACTTTTTGAATGAAAAAAGATTATATAAGGACATTACGAGTGGTGGTTAGGCAGAAAAAATAATCGTCCAGATAACATGGCTTAGGCCTATGACAAGAATGCTGTGAATATTTACATAACAGACAAAATGCAATTAGTGGTGGTGGGTTATGGTTAGTTTGTTGGCCATCGGCCGATTGAGATTGGCAGGATCATTGTATTTTTTCTTGAAAACTCAGATGTGAATGTGCTAAAGGTCGGAAAAAGAAGAGTAGGACTAGGCATAGACAAATATGTAATAAGGGGAAAGTTGGAAATATACTGTCTGTCTGTCTAGGGATCGGAGCTCTCATCTGTCCAAGAGAAATATCCTCATTTGATATTGACCTAAAGAAGAACGCGATTCCACTCTGCAGCTCAAATCATGCCAACAACCACAGTCCCAGGATTGATTGGATTATTGACTTGCTAAAAAGAAAATTTTATTCAAATTAGAAGGGGCGCTTATTCAAACAGGGCGCTTAAGGAAATTTTCACGTTAGACGGGGCGCATATTCGCGCGAGTACGGTAATCATAGTCCGTCATACTATTGAGAGCAAGTATAAAATTGAAATTAATTGTAATATCAATTTCATAGGTTAGTAAGTAAAGTAAACCTAGATTCAATCCTTTTATTGTATATAATTTTTTATTAAACTTTCAATGTATTTTCCAAAACAATATTAATTATAATTATCAATGTTATTACCACCATTATAAATCACAGTCCTCCTCATTATTAGGTTATATTTTCTTTTTACCTTATAGGCCTAAGATCAGCATGGTAAGAAGACAACATATTGTACATACCGGTGAGAAATTAATATTAAACATTCGATCTTATTATATGTATTACCAATGGCGAATCCATGAATTCAAAATAGACTCGGATCCAGGGATGTTCACAGCTGACCTACAAAAGTTGATATTGAAGACTTGGTTAATTTTTGTTTGCGAGAATAAAGCAATGATTATACAGAAATCCTTTATTAAGTAAGAACTAGAGAGGTGTGGGGTAGGGGGAATGGGTACTGGTAAAATCAACTTAATTTGCCAGTTAGCGCTCACTCACTTCATCATCGCCCCACCCCCACCGATTTCAAGACTCATGAATACGCCACTGGGGAGAACCTCTACTTAAGAAAACAAATGCTTTCCTTCCTAAATTTCATCCATGTCGAGCTCCATTATTATTATTTCAACTATTTTTATAGTTACAATGTGGTCATTACTTGAAGCAAAGAGTATAAACTCTCGGGGTTTCATTGGAACGCAATCCTATCTAAAAAATATACTATCACGAACTAGAGGCGTTCGTAAATAGGGCGCCCCCTATCTCCTGGTAGTACTTTTTAAACGTTTCATTGCGTGCATAAAATCAGGGCAGTTGGACCTCTTGCAAGTCTATACTCTTTCGCTTGAAGGCTGTGAACACAATGTCAATTTCTTTTAGGCCTACTTAAGTCTCTTGCATTTCATTTTAAGTCTCAAATATTAAGTCTCATTTTCCCACTGTTGCGAAAAAGACGATAATCAATGACAGATTCAAGGGGAGAGAGGAAGCAGGTCCGAGCCCCCTAGATTTTTCATAATAAAAGATAATGGAGAAAAAATAAGAAAATTGTATTCAAATGTAAATCAGAGTGTCATTCTCGGCCATCTAGAGGTGCCACAATCATAAGATTTCTCCCCTCAGCCATAAGTGGGTACACCCTCTATTTGCAAAACTCTCTCACTTGGGCCCCTCTATTACCAATTCGGATCCGCCTCGAATAAGTAAGCACAAATATATGTAATAGCAATAACAATGTCGAATATTGTACAAGAAGACCATCAAATGTCGCTGTGCAATTTACTATGAAATCATTAGATGGGTCGCGGCTAGTGTGGGAAGTTACAATTTGGATCCCAGAAAAAAAAAATTTAGGAAGTGCAGGTTTAAGACAACACGTTTGTACGACACGCGAGTATTCCTGGCACCGTAATGATTGGTCAGTTGTTAAGTTTGATAGATACTCCGGAAAC